TGGGTGTTAGTTGTAGTTGTTTGTTCTGTGGTAGTTGGTGTAGTTTGTGTGGTTGTTGGTACTGTTTCCGTTGCTGCGGTCTGGGTGTTAGTTGTAGTTGTTTGTTCTGTGGTAGTTGGTGTAGTTTGTGTGGTTGTTGTTTCTGTTTCCTTTGTTGTGGTGTTTTTGATATTACAGTTTTCGTTGTTTTTTGGCGTCGTTTCTGTAAGAAATATGTCTTTGGTAAGTCTTTCTCGCATTTAATTTCGAGTTGGTTCTCATCGTATTTTTCTGTTTTTATTTTTTTTGTGTTTTGTTTTAATTTTTTGTTTCGATTTCTTCTGTTCCTATCTTTTTGTGCTTTGAATATTCCATTTTGATATAAATGTGGTTGGTCCGCATTTATCTACTTCCCATCTCGATGTTCTCGATTCGTACCTCACTGTGGGATACGACACAATTTCATTTTCCTCTGTTTGCCTTCATTGCTGTTAAGCAGCGACTGGTTCACTCGCGGAAGGTTTTACCAGTTCAGTCGAATTCCCATCACCACTTAGAACTGCTGAAGGTGATGACCAATTTTGAAGTTGAAGGCGATTAAATAACAATAAAACTTGAATATTCAATGAGAGCAATCAGCCTGAGTTTATTTTCTGGTGTGTTTTGTCTGTGCGATGATTAAGCACATATTAGGAGGTGTCGAGTGTTTCGATTATAAGTAATTTTCAATGCTCCCAATGGTACCTATTTCATCGCTGTCACTAGTTCTACTTCGTGTTGATCTAAAATTCTTCCCTATCTGATAGTGGGTATTCGGAATAAATTATTCCTGTTTATAAATCTCAACTATGCGGCGACAGTAAGTATAGCGAGGCAATTGTTTTCAATCGATTCAAATCCTAGTATTATAAAGTATGGTGCAAAATCTACAAATCGTTGAGATTAGGATGACGACTTGTTCTTTTCAGTGTATTTTGATAACAGTCTTCTGTTTACAGAATTGAGGATTACACAGACATCAAATATACAGTCGATTAAAACAATGAAGGACGACATCACGATTTTGCATTGTGTTATTCATATCTGTTGTGCTGAAATTTGAATCACTCCCCCCTTTCTCAGTCTTAGCCCAACTTACCTGTCATGGTGGATGTGTTCGCTTGACATGGATAAGGCGATGTTGTAACCAATTGGCAAGGGGGAGCTGTGGTGACCACTCTGCACGGGGGAGGAATGGTTGTAGGTAATTGACACGGTCGGGGCGAAGTAATTGGATTACATGGTGAAGCTGTGGTAACACACGATGAGATCACTGTTGTCGTTTTCTCCGTGATTGGTGCCAACGTCCTACACATAGGTTGTTCAGTGGTATGTCCCGGTTTCCTTCGATCTTCAGTTTTGATTTTCAGCAACAAACAATAAGCAAAAGTGTCACAGACAACAAATTATTCACAAGCGAGACAATTCAAATTGCAAGACCACTAAAAAGCTCATGCTTCTCTGACCCCTTACGACATTTTGACTGGTGGTCAGGTCACCAACTTGTGACCCGTGAATCCCGGGTTGTAACCGCTCCTCAGCCGCCCTTCTTCTCAGACATCCTTTGTATGGCTGCGGCCCCCTTTCCTGAATGTTGAATGTACATTTGTATATTCAATAAATAAATAAATAAATAAATAAAAGAAAACACACAAACATTCACTTAGAGCGTGGAAGTATCAGCCGACGTAACCATATTCCAATGTTGTACGGAGTTGTGCTAGTGTTGAAATCTAAATAATGTTCTCCTTTCATAATGTTCCTGCACGGGAAACTCAACAAAAGATTGACACTGTTCTACCAGACATCACTATTGACCGCGGATCTCAATATATACCCTCTAATGTGCACCTTGGATGGTGGCTTTCAGGAGGGCTGGAATAAATGGCTTTGACTTTGCAATATTCGATGCACCAAAATCAATCCGGTTATAATTCGGCGCTGACAACTGGTCAGTAGATTCAGTGACTGTAATCTCTTCCTACAGATATGGGATACCAATCCAGTGGCTGTTCTCTGTAGTCAAGTTACGTGGATGATAAGTATGGAGTCGCATCCGGCTATCAGATACTTGCAGGCAACAATGTTGGCTCTAAACAAAGAAAGCAAACCGGTTTTCTTAAAATCAGTGGGCAAAGCTCTGACGTATCTCATCAAACAGCTTCAGATATACCGGGTGCCACATTGACAAACTATGGTGATTGCGGATTTGACGAGTTGAAATTGATTCAGGTAACATAGCATGAACATTCTGAACATTCGTGATTCAACGACACAATGAACATCATTCGATCGTAATCATTTACAATCGCGTCAATCATCAAAAACAACTGGCGAGAGAATCGAGAAAACCCGAGCGAAAAACGCGAGAAATGCAAATGCATGCTAAATAATCATGAAGCGAAGAAGAATAAACCAGCTGCGAAAGTGAACAGAATGTCGCGAATG